CAGGAGGGGAAGACCCTCTATGAGATGGATTGATTCGGTGACTGGGTAATCAGGATGGGTGTGTCAGAGGCAGTGCTGTTGGTGCAGCATAGAGCAGGGTTTAGGGCCGTTGTGCGTAGGGTCGCTATGAGTCGCAAATGACTCGACGGCACATAACAACAACAACATCACTAATATCACACACTAATAAAATTCTGCTGAAGATAATCCAGAAATGACTGGAACAGTACATTGACAGAGAACTACCAGAAATACAAGTTGTGTTTCACAGAAGTCATGGCACTAGAGACATTATTGCCAATGTCAGAAAGCAAAGGGTACCAGAGGAATGTCTATCTCTGTTTCATTGACTATGCAAAGGCATTTGACTGTGTTGATCACAACAAAGTGTGGCTAACCTTAAGGAAAACGGGAATCTCAAAACACTTGAGAGAATGTTTCACCAAATACAATTAAAGACAAGCCTTAGGGCTGCGGATTAGAGTCACCCACCTGTGCCTTGGCCACCCAGAGCCCTAAACTAAGGGGAAGTAAGGCCAGAGCCTGCAGAGCTTACTCCAGGCCGTAGATTAAAATCCTTCATGAGGCTTGGGCACTGGAGTCTCCCTCTACTCTGTAAGTCAGCTGGCTGATTGGTGGGATGGCTGGCATCTCTATGGAGGCTCGACTTTGGTGGCAGTCAAGGCAAGGGAAGTTTCTGGGGTCCTTTTGTTACAGAACACAAGGAGTTCTTTCCATAGTCAATCGCCAATAAGACAAACTGATTGCAATATCCATAAATGTACTTTATTACACAGATCTGGGAGACAGGAAGTCACCTCCAAGACTGCCTCCCTGTCTGGGAGTGGTCATGGGCTTTTATAGGAGGGTGAGACACCAATTTACTTAACAATAAACTTTTGTTAGTAAAATCAATTTCTATAGCTGAAAGAAAATCATTGACACCCAGATACTCCCTTTCTGGGCAAACAGGCATATTACGTTACAATTTACATATGATTGGAGAAAACAGCTTCAAAGAAATAACAGCTAATCTAGGAGATGCATCTCCTCTTCTGATTAACAGACATCACAGAAAGCACACTAAGAACTCCAAGGTCAAGCAACCAGTCCCGCAGGCTGGAGAAAACTATAGTTTTATAACTGACACCCATATAGAGAATTCTGAACTTATTAATACCACCCTATCACTTTGGAGACCAAGGTGCGTCTGATACATGCCATGGTCTTTGCTATCACTTGTTATGCATCAGAGGGTTAGACAATGACTAAGGAGGGTAGAAGGAGAATTGATGCCTTTGAGCTTTGGTGCTGGAGAAGAGTATTGAGGGTACCATGGACTGCTAGGAATCATCCTGGAAAGGGTCAAACCAGACTGCTCCTTGGAGGCAAGGATTCTGAGGCTCCATCTAACATACTTGGACATGATGCAAGGAGGGGACAGGTGCTTGGAGAGGGACATCATGCTTGGTAGGGTGGAGGGACAATGCAGAAGGGGAAGGCCCCCTATGAGGTGGATTGATTCAGTGATTGGGGTAATCGAGATGGGTATATCAGAGACCCTGTGATTGGCACAAGACAGAGCAAAGTTTAGGGCTGTTGTACATAGGGTCATTATGAGTCGCAAGCGACTTGCGGGCACATAACAACAACAACATCACTTTTTGCTCTTTTTTGCACTTCAAAAGTGGGTGGGTGGCCCCAGTCCTAAAATAAGGGGAAGTAAGAGTGGAACCTATAATACACAATAAGGGATTTATCTTTCACTGCTCCACAAATTACTTGTCTGTCAGATACTCCTCTAAATCTGAA